AGGAGTGTATCTACCTAATGTAAATGTTCAGCTCATATGCCTGTCTTTTGTTTGGCTGGAAGCCACAGGAGTGGGTTCAATTCCAGACTTGAAGGCCAGCTAGGGGCCATAGTCTCAGGAGTTCCACCAGGCTCTATCAGACCAAAGCTCCTTTTATTGAGCCTTTCTTTCTGCTAGGCCAGGGTTTCTGAACCACATTTTTGGCATCTGTTGCCAGATGATTCTTTGTTATAGGAGGCTGTTGTTGTTGTTGTGTGCCTTTGAGTCAGACCCGACTCAAAGTGACCCCTCCTTGGGTTTCCAAGGCAGTATCACTACAGAAGTAGATTGCCCCATCTTCCTTCCGAGGAGTGGCTGGTGGATTTGAACCGCCAGCTTTTTGGTTAGCAGTCAAGTGCTTTATGCACTACGCTACCAGAGCTCCCTGTAGGAGATTACAACATTGAAAGATGTGTAGCAGCATCTCTGGGCTCAACCCACTAGATGCCAGTAGCACTCCCCAGTGTGACAACCAAAATGTTTCCAGACACTGCTAAATGTCCCCAGAGTCAAAGGGATAGTCCCTTGATTGAGAACCATTGTCTAGCCCCTATAACATAATACATACATAATATACATTATCACATTTTATCTTCAGAAAAACTCTACCCAGAAGTCTTTTATATAGAGAGTTTCATGAGGCAGGGATCTTGATGATGTCTCTTACTATGGATTATCAGAGCATACTGGAAACCATTTTTATCTCAAATAACTGGGTGGCAAGCTAGCTTTGCAAGACATTGATAAGACAGGGACAAGTGACGGTCTAGTGAAAAAGTCCATAATTTGGGGTAGAATTGGGGTAGTGCCAGCATGATTCCCAGGAACTGTGGTGTATCTGACCATGTGCTCAGAAGTAACTCTGAGATTAATATGTGGTTCTGGGCTGGAATTCTGCCACAGGTTCTATCTGAGGATAGTACAGAGAAGGTGAAAGTATACCTAAGGATCAGACCCTTGTTACCTTCAGAGTTGGAACGACAGGAGGATCAGGTAAGTGTCTGGGAAGGAATGATTCAAGATGAAATGATGTACTACAGAAGAGGTTCCCAGGAATGTTTTCTTCTATGACAACTGTGTTTTTCCCCTTCTCAGGGTTGTGTCCACATTGAGAATGTGGAGACTCTTGTTCTACAAGCACCCAAGGACTCTTTTGCCCTGAAGAGCAATGAACGAGGAATTGGCCAAGCTACCCACAGGTTCACCTTTTCCCAGGTATGGAGGTACTTTGGCTGTGAACAAGGGACCAGTACGTAGAGGCAATTTCATTCTCTCTCTCGCTCCCTCACCTTCCTCCCTCCCTCTCTATGTGTAAATATACACATACCTCTACAAGTTTAGAGGTCTCTGTTATATAGTAGTTCACTCTGTTATCTGGTAGTTTAAGCATTGTATGTGCATTAATTCATAACTACTCTTATCGTTGTCCCTGTTTTCCTAACAAGGATACTATGGCACAGTGAAGGTAAGTATTGTTACCAAAACCATGTATCGAGTCAGTGGTAGAACTAGGACTTCGATCCAAATCCATCCATCTCCAATGCTCAGCCATGTGACCATTATATTGCCCCACTGAGCATGCAGCATTGAGCTTAGTGAATAGCATTCCATAAATATGTGTTGATTTGGCTGACAGACAGACTAGCAGAGAATGTTTGAAACCTCAGTGTTTAGGGAATAGCTGGTAGCAATGCAGGAAGAAGCTGCTTTAGTGGTCTCTAGAACCACCATCCAGAAAAGGATGAATCTGTTAGGTCTGCATAGGAGGCAAGTAGATGAAAGGATGCGCCTTTGAAGAACTGGGTCTATCTCTAGATCTTTGGCCCAGAAGTGGGACAGGCATCCTTCTTCAACCTGACCGTGAAGGAGATGGTGAAGGACGTACTCAAAGGGCAGAACTGGCTCATCTATACATATGGAGTCACCAACTCAGGGAAAACTCACACAATTCAAGGTAAATAGTAGCGCCCCACAGGATTGCTGATTGACCTATAATGCTGTGTCTTTGCCTTTACTGTTGTGAGTTAGGGGGGAAAGGCACTTGTTTCAGCTAACCATCTTTCACATAACTTCCAGGTACCATCAAGGATGGAGGGATCCTACCCCGGTCTCTAGCTCTCATCTTTAATAGCCTTCAAGGCCAGCTTCATCCAACACCTGATCTGAAGCCCTTATTCTCCAATGAGGTAATCTGGCTAGATAGCAAGCAGATCCGGCAGGAAGAAATGAAGAAGCTGGCCTTGCTAAATGGAGGCCTCCAAGAGGTAAAGTATTGGTGTCTATGGAGGTAGGGTTGAAATCTCTGGAGAAAGTTTTGTGCTTACCTTTTCCCTGGGCCCCTCCAGGAGGAGCTGTCTACTTCCTTGAAGAGAAGTGTCCACATTGAAAGTCGGACGGGTACCAGCACCAGTTTTGACAGTGGCATTGCTGGGCTGTCCTCTACCAGTCATTTTACCAGCAGTAGCCAGTTGGATGGTACGTACCATAACTAGGTTCTGTACCAAGTAACAAGAACCCATTCTCTGTTTCCAAGAGCTGTGAGGGGTGCAGACCAGAGGTTGCAGTCTGAGGTGTGTCTTCCAAGAACTCCCAAGCCAAAAGAGAGATGGATTGTTCTAGGATTGATGCTCTGTACAATGACTTCTTCCCCCAGAAACAAGTCACCGATGGGCACAGCCAGACACTGCCCTAATAAGTGTCCCAGCAGACATCCGCTTCTCCATCTGGATATCC